AGGACGGAGAGAGATATATGTAGGACCATATAAATACACCACAAACCAGTGGAGATATCGACATGACGATCAAAGTGGAAATGCCTAAAAGGAAAGGTACATAATTAATACATACAGAAGAGACAAAACGAGAAGACAGAAGGAAGCGAAAGATGCTGAGGGGATGAAGATTATATACTACACCCAAAGCATAGGACCGAGAAACACAGTAGGGGTGGCACATAAGGAATAATGTGAGCAGCAGATCTTTCCCTCTGACAAAATAGATATATGAAATCGAGGGTTTCATGTTTTCTAACATATAAACAGAGGAATAAGAACAGATAATATCTTGAAACTATGCTGAATTCCTGAAGCATAATAAGTCGTACAGTAACGTCATTTTTGTCCGTATCTAAGACTATGGAGGATGCTATAAGGGGAGTCTCGTTATTCACCAGAGTGGAATGTAGAATGTTAAGAAGTATTCATAACCCCTTTTATGCATAAGAGAGTATAAGCATATACAATGCATACATTGCCCTATTGACATAAAGACATACCATATAAAGAAGTCTTACAGAGCCATAGAGTTATGAAATTTTTCTGAAAAATGGAAGGAAGTGAATAAATACCTGATCATTTTGGCAGTGATATGGTTTTTATCTCAGTTTTAAGTGTAAAGTTATCTGGGCATATGAGCGGTAATAGGAAAATTTCCTCCCTTAATAATGAGTCAAATAGTTTTATAAACATATTGTGTGTTATTCCACGTGATTAATTAACCCAAATTTTCGAAAGTATTGGTGAGTTGTTGTGGGGATCATCTGAATAAGAGAAGAGCTCTTTATGTTTCAATACCTTATCATAATATAAAATTATCCCCGAGATGACAAGAAGATAACAGTATAAATACAGGGATGAAGGATGTTGTGGCTTAAGGGGAATAATCTCTGACATATAGGCTAACATGGAGTAACAACTACTCTCGTGAACCAACAAAGCATAACTAAACACAGCGATAGGAAATATCCGGGGGCAAGGATCTAATGCTTAAGAAATTACTGATAGTATATAGTGTATCTTCTGGGACACCCAAGAGAGAGAACCGATAAGAACAGAGAAAGAAAGTGATAAAACAGAAAATATGAAGTATGCGCCAGAACACAGGACATAGAAACATATGCACATTTGAGTAAGAAGAGATAGTCTATGACAAGAGATCAAAACAAGCAGCGGGGTCAACGAGAAGTGAACAGCTGATACAAAGCCTCAGAAAAACCTATGAAGGCAGTAGGGACCGGTTACTGGAGCATATAAGGGACGGCAAAGTATGAAGATAAGTAGAATAATAGCCTGTTTAACCTGATAAATGCGCACAAGTTATTAAAGAGTGCATCAAAAAGGAAAAAAAGAAGCGACATCCAACGAAGAGGGGGCAAACTTACGTCCAAAAAGAGGAAGGGATACCTTAAATTTTAAAGGGGGTATGCCTCTACCAGAATAAAAAGTATGAAAAAAATGGAGTCCTATATTATGCACTAAAACATCCTGAGAAAGAAACACCCAGGGACCTGCGAAGCGCGCGGTCCAAAGGGCAACAAGTCCCAGGACGAATACTCGTTCAGATTGAAGCATGCAGAAGGATAAAAGTATGCTTATAAGAAAGGAGTAGATCCAGGAGGGATACCCTAACATAATTAAGCTTATATATTATTAACAGGGCAGGGTCGAAAGAACAACCTTGGAGAAATAGGCATACTGACAATCTAAAGAAAGAAGTAGGACCTCTGGAAGAAGCAGAAGGAGTAAAGGGAAAGGTAGGGGTTACAAGAGGGGCAACACTGAGTAGGGGAGGGCGAAGAAGTTGACGGAAGTTACCTAAAGGATATAAAACGTAGTTATAGAGAGTAGAATTAAAGAAGCTACAGGGTAGAGGATAGAAGCCAATGGAATAATCAGCCCAGAGGAGGGATCAGATACAGTGACAATTATAGTATGATATAAGAATATATCTGACTAAGCCGGCTACAATAACTAAAAAAAGACACAAGACTCCTTACCCAGCCTAAGTACCCCTCCACTGCACAATATAGAAGCAAATGCAGGGGGGCGCAAGGAAGAAGTAACAGGAGAGAGAACAGACCCGACAAATCCGCGGGAAATAAGCACAGTCGAAGGTACAAGCAAATATAAACCAAGAACAGCAAGAAGAGAGAGGCAGTATGAAGGGACGAACAGTTACTGAGGAGATTATCATGATAAGGAAAACCCTGACTAGCAGTGGCGGACAACTGATGCAAAGTCCCAAACAATATAAAATCTCAGCACCTCACCTCCTGAAGCTACTGGATAAGGTAGGGAAGGAGGACGGAGAGTAGTGAATTAAAGTTAGAGACAACCAGAATAAATGTGCCTGACGTCAACAGGTAGTAGTAAGGAATAAAGTGATTAATCGAATAGATTCCCCCAAAAAATGTGGACAAGAGGATATCAGGACCCCCGAAACAACAAGGGGGGGAGAAACACATGTCACTGGGAAGATCTGGGGCAGGATTATTGGGGATAGCCGCACCTTTAAGCAGAACATGCATTGGCTCACCACTCTTAAGAAGATTAATAGAACAAGAGGGAACAGAACTGAAAGACAGAAAGCAGGCGGGGATATCTACCAAGAGTGGGAATCCTCAATGGGGCATCTCAATTGGTGCAACAGAGGCAGTCCAGATAGGGTCACCCTCCCCAGGAATAAACGCCAAAGTAAGTGGACTCGGCAAGAAGCCAGAGACTCCTTCTAAAGGACAGCTAATAGGAGTGGTATAAAATCTCCCAACAAGGAGGTAAAAATTTCCTCTCCGGGGGATATTACGCACCTTGCCTAACAGGAGGAACCGAAGGAGTGATCAGGCAAGGAGGGAAGCATAGAACCCCAGGATTTTTGGCTACTACAAATCTCAAGAACGAGTCACAGGAAAGAAATACCCAACAGCAGCAGATGGCTCAAAAGAGGTAAGTGGAAGACCGAAGTCGAGCCAAGTGTCAGAATAATTTTAGTAACTACCAAAGGAGGAGGAACCAAGTCCGATAGGGAAGCCACAAGCAGCACGCCTGGGTACAAGGGTATAGGAAAGCAACAGGTCGAGACCGTGAGTGACATTGAAATCCAATACCCAACGCAAAAGGACAGAACAAGTAGTAGGATACCCAAAGTTAGTATGAATGAAGCCGCAACAGAAAGAGTAAGATATAGAAGGGGCCTCTACCCGCAGGGGAGGAAGCAATACTAAAGCTTAAATTCAAAAGCCGGATCTATTCATATATAACAGACCCCAGGAAATGGCGCCCTAACAGGAAAAACAGAGGCCAAGGGTTCCAAACAGGAAGGGTAGGATTAGTGAAGAAGAAAAATACGGGACGATGAAAGCTAGGGCCAAAAGAAATGAAAGTATACAAACAGAGAAATTAGAAAACCCCTAAAAGAGTCACTAAAGGACCCGTTCCCAACCCCTAAGATGGTGCGAGGGAAGGGAAACTAAGGGCGTCGGGGCCTCTATAAATCAAAGAAACAATCTCAACCTTAAAATTCCTTCATTAATAATAATGGGGACATTCCTAGACGAAGAAGTAAGGAATAAGTGGACAGAGCCGGGCGCCAGAGGGAGGATGGATAAACAAGAACAGGTATTTGAGATGCAAGCGAGAAGTGAAAATGAATAAGATAAGGTCCCACGCAACATGGGGGGCTAATCTCCCAGGAAAGAGTCAACCAATCTACCACACACCTAGAGGAATCAAACTATAACACGTAAAAGTTGTTTCTAGTAAACCCCCAGAAGTAACAGAACAATCTGAGAAGACAGGTTTACCCCACCCGGACAAACATCCTAAATAGTGAGGTTTTTATTAGATACGGAGCAGGCGGCCTAAGGAAACCGCAGACCTAGAGTGCGAGGAAGAAGAATATCTTTAGTCCAACAGTATAGAATGAAACCCATCAAAATACAACTCACCAGAACGAAATTTTAGACACCTCTCCAACAATAAAGTCTCCCCTTGCCAGGATGGATATAGGAGTCTGACCCGAAAGGGCGAAGAAATATTGGAGGAGAAAAAAGTGGAGTGAAAATAAAGGACAAGGAACGCGCCTTAGAATTAATGACGCCGGGGAGTATCCTACAGAAAGGAATATCATCAGGGAAATTACCCGTATGAGGAAGATATAGATAGGGAGAGGGACAGTAAAGGGAGCTGACATTGAGATAGAGGAGCCTCACGCCGGGCGCCTTTTTGAGCAGAAACCTCAAACAAGACAAAATCACCCACCAACTGAAGATGCAGGAAAGAAAGATTCCGAAGTAAGAATAAAGAAGGAGAACTGTGATGTTTTAACCCCAATAGCCCACATGTAACCTAAGTAGTATGAACGCGTCATTTGACGAAATTAGCGATCTCCCTAAGAGAAAGTCCAAGAATGGAGGCTTAGGCAGGGAAAGATACAGCATCCCCCCCCCTTTCCCAACATAGAAGGGCGCCAAAACGAGGAAGAGCGAGAATGCCCAAACAAACGCATCAAGGAGGAATTCTATCTTCCAACTCAGGGAAAGTTTGAATAGACTCGAGACCGGAGCCCCTAAGCCGGAGGACTTTCTACCAACCCAGAGAGTATAAAGTGAAAATTAATATAAAAGTGGAAAAGGTCATAATAAAATTCTCAGACTTGATCAGCTCATTAGGAAATAAAAATATAAGGATTAAGAAGAAGAAGATTTTAACTCTGCCCCGACACCCCAAATCAAAGAAGCATTTCCCTGACTCTAAAATCAAAGGAACCGAAGCGCAATCCCCTCTCCAAACCGCAGTTTAATAGAAAAAAATCTCTACCAACTGAGCCTAGTCACAAGCCGTATGCATCCGAATGTATCCGAATGTATCCGAATGTATCTGATGAGTCAAAAGATAAGCAAAGTAGACTTAAAATTTTGCCATTCAGGAAAAGAGTAAAAAGATGAGACATTACGAAACACTGCAATAAGCTTCAGAAAGAAGAAACAGCAAGGGAAGAACAGGTCCAGGCCAGGGCATAGGCAGAGATTAACAGTAGTCCCAGAAATGGAAGGGTCTTCAACAAAGATAAAACAACAAATTAAATAAACTGAAAAGCGTACTAGTTGAAATGAAGAGATCTAGGAACGGGACCCCAAGCGCACAATAAAGTGTCCGAATAATAGAAGAAGGGAACCCTAGGCAAAACCGAAACGAGAGACGGAAGAGTCCTAACGAGAAAATAATTCGGAAACAGGTCAAGTAAAAATTAAGGAAACTAGGGAGAACTGTGGATAACTTATCCTCCTTTTAAAGCCCTTACCCAATACCTCATCAATCTAGGGCACCAAAAATTGGAATTGGGAAGGTATGAAGAAGCAGATAACAGCATTCTCAGGGGGAAAGGACAATAGCATCACATAATAATGAAAATTCTAATCCAAGAATATTGACTAAAAATAGTCCAAGGTATAGATTTCCCCCCTCCCCCCCCCTCACCCCCGACTCCCGTCTAGGCCAGATAATCAATGGGACAAGTAAAGATGTGATTAACGAAACAGACAACTCTAAAAGAAGACGCCAGCGGAGGAACGGAAAAAGTCAACAGAAATCCCCCCCTATCTCCCCAACGAAAGAGGTAGTGAGAAAACAGGTAGCGAGGCTCAGACGACTCCATCACCCTCAAGGGTAAAGATGAGTAACAGGTAACTCCAAACAGGCACTACCCTGAGGAGGATGAATGTATTAGAGATTAGATCGTTATAGCAAAGAAGAGTGCTGATACCTAAAGATAATCTGCGGGGCCCTAATTCAGAGGAAACGTAACCCCCAAAGATATCGCCCGGCTAGAATCAAAACTAAAGTAAAAGGCTATTTTCAGAAGAAAGGACTAGGAAAAGTTATCCTGAGTTACCTCCCGTGGTGTACAAGGTGGACGAAAGAATCCAAGGGAACTCAGAAGACCAAAAAGGTAAACCTCTGCCAATACCCGACAGCACTTGCAAAAAAAATCCACCAGAAGGCCAAATCCATATGCACAAAGAAAAAATTCTAAAACGCCCAGAAGACGGAGAAGAAAAACAATAACCAGGGGACTTATTACATGGGTTATAAACATCAACAGGAGAATGAACCCAGCAGCTCCTAGTGGTGGCATTCAGGAGTTTCGGAGTAAGTGGGGAATTATTAACCGTCTAAGGCAAAGGGGCAAGTGCGTCACCTCAAAGAAGGCAGGGGGTCGAGTAGAGGGGAAAAGGATGTGACTCCATAAAACAGCAGGACACCTCCTGAAAATCATGCAACACATACACAAGCCGTGACCACCAGAAATATCTCTGAGGCGTAGAACTATGAGCAGATCATGTGGAGCCTAACGTTTCCGAGTAGGAGATAAGGAAAGTATCTATACCTGGGAAGATTCTGAGAGTTAGATAGTTTTTAATTAATAACAAATGTTTACGATAAGTCAAGATCAAGAGGAAGACGGACTCCCGGGGCCTTCCAATAGATAACTCTGGCTGAAGGGGCCATGCAGAAATAAAAGGATACCTGACTGAAAAGGACTTCCGTGTCTCTTCATTAAAAAAAGCAAGCGTAAAGTAGCTAAGAAGGAAAGTGAAACCCCCGAGGGAGCCAGAGTAGTGATTTCAGTATCCACAGTCAGTAACTCTCCATCTGATAAACTCAAATAATAAAAATAATTAAGAATGCAAGATTAAAATATCCAGAGGGTAATATAACTGAGAAATAGATCAAATAATTATGGGAGGGCAGAGTAAGTATCAAATTCGTCGCAACTTCAGAATCCACCCGCCCCTAAGGAAAAAATAGGAAGTAAAAATCTCTCAATATGTGAGGCCGGTTTCGGCTACTTAATAAGTCAAAAAACAGTTCATGAAAACAGTAAGACGTCAGTATAGAGGGACGGTCATGAGTCTATAACCCCAAGGGGGAAACCAAAATCAAAGACTGAATAAACAGGCACTAGCATTTATGTTCTTATTAGAGATCTGAACCAAGCCACCAAGGATGTCATAAGTCTCAGTGAGGAAGAGAGAGACCAACAGCAATGGTCCCGATAACCAGGACGTAGGTAGAAAACTCCTATCATATCCTGGCAGATGAAAATTCAATACATCGGAAAGTCAGGTCGGGTGACAAAGCATCTACAGAACTATGACAGTTTAGAGAACGAGCCAATAATCTATAGCAGGGAGGGAACAAGTGTTTCCTGGAGGAATAACCCAGGGGAAGGGATGCGGAAAGATTAAAGGGAAGCGAATATAATTGAGTCCTCAACGAGACCGTGTTCGAGTTACTCTGCAAAATATAAACAGCCACCCCAGGAACCCCAGGAAAGGAGACTCCTAAAAAGAACCAACCGGCGGCAACAGCCCCCAACGTGTAGTAATAGACAAGAGGCAGCACCTCTGATAGTCCGTGAGTTCGTCCAGCGAGAATTGGGGATTAGATTCAGAAACTGGAGAATCGGAGAAAGTGGATAAAAACTAAAAGCAATCTCCCAGCATTATCTATAGCTATAGGAGTTCTGCGCAGTGTCTCATCTCTGGGCATCCGAGGGAAGCAACAATCTCGGAACCCAGGGCGCGGTTCTCCAGGAGTCTCCAATGAGGGAGGGGGCGTAGCTATAAGGAAACACTGAAGGAGCGCCTCCTCAGGGCGCGAGGATAAATGGAGCCTGGAGGGAATAAGTTTAGGAGGGTTCCCCAAAATGCACCTGCGGGGGGCGGATCCGTTTAGCCTCAGGAAGTTCGTATCAGATGAGATAAGGAATTCCCAGGTAAGATAAGATAGAGGGCAGTATCACCATGTGGATAAAGGAATCGGAGAGTTCAGGATGAAGTCAAACCAGAGAAAAGGGAGAGAATAAGGTCCGGGAGGTGGGGATCAAGCGTTGGCATAGCCTGACGTAGGACTCCAAGGCAGAATCTGACGGTAAGTCCAGGCCGGACAAGAGGAGAGGGGAGAATCCGACTATAACGTTGAGGGAGTGGACAAAGTAGGAGGCCGTCAGTCAAGCCTGAATAGGAGAAAGGGTCCCACCCACAAAGCAAAACGAAGGCAAGGAGGGAAAGAAATGAGCCCAGCTCGACTGAGGAGAAAGCTTGCAGAGTAACTATACCTTCGACTTGAGAAGCCTTGAGGCAGGTAGGAATTCATATTCGGACACCAGGATCTATAGTGCAGGGCTCACGAATAAAGTCTCTGGTAAGTTACCCTTGTCACTAGTGAGATATTGGGCACCACGAAAGTCAGTGGCCAGGATAAAGTGGTTATTAGAGAAACAAGCGAGTGAGCAACCGAATAAGTATTAGGACAAACTCCAATCCGGGAGACATCAAGGAATAAGGTGAAAGGAAACAACTTATCGACATCTCAGGGGAGCTCTCAATTGAGGGAATGATTCCAATCGTTTGAATAAGTTACAATCTGCGGAACAGAAATTGCAGATCAGGTGCGGCTAGGCCAGATATCTCAGGTGCGGAAATATAAAGAATGGCTGGATTATTACAGGCTCACTTGGCAAGTTTGAAGGACCAGGTGACGAGACTTAAAATATGTGAGAAGAGCAAGGCTGAGATCCCCTGGGTGTGTCACTGGATCGGG